CTTTCTTTCTTTCTTTCTTTCTTTCTTTCTTTCTTTCTTTCTTTCTTTCTTTCTTTCTTTCTTTCTTTCTTTCTTTCCTTCCTTCCTTCTTTCTTTTTTTCTTTTGATAATAGTCGAGAGCGACATACGGACGTATATCAGACAAGTAAGTCAGTATCGCTAGACAGTTATCTGCTTACTCCCATTCACTGGAATTTTTTCCATGGTTTGATGACTGATTTATCCTAGACATGTCTAAAGCATTTGATCACTATTGTGCCCGGGACCTTTGACTTTCTACAGACGCAAATGAGATAAACCACTCGGTCATCAACAAAATTACAGTTATATTAGTCTCCACATATACTGCTGTTAAAGCGAAACGGAGCTAATGTTTGAGCTAAAAAAGTAGCAAACGTTGCCGAAGAGGTTGTTGGCGATTATGACTTCGTAGATGGAACCATTCGAACTCCGGACTGAATGGTACCATCATCCCGCCTGTTTGGAGTGCGCATTTCCGTTCACTAATGAGGGCTATGTGCAAATTCTTGTTAGCCCTTTGTTTCAGTGTTATCCTATGTAAGATAAATTAACGATAAAAGGGTAAATTTTACACCGTGAAAAGATGAAAAAACTTACTGACGTTTCGGACGCTAGTCCTTCGTCGGAGTAAAAGAGGAAGGACTATCGTCCAAAACGTCAGTAAGTTTTTTCATCTTTTCACGGTGTAAAATTTACCCTTTTATCATTACTGTTTCATTAGAAACACCGATGCAGCTCACTCTAGTTTTTAGCTAGTTATCTCTTCTATGTAAGATAAATGAGACTTACATGCGCATTAGGCCATAATTAATATGGTTATTAACTATGGTTGGGCGTAAGGTGGGCTATAAATTAAAATTAACTTGTGTTGATTCTAGAGTATAGTGTTGATTGAAGAAGACTTTGTGAAAGACGCCTTTTTCGATTCGCAAGTTGGTGTTTGGCCTGCAGCAATTTAACAAAGTCATCAGCGGGAACTTTATATGATATATTTCATTCCAGATCTGCAGGCCAATACGTGCGATCAAAACAGCCGAACTCCGGAAAAGGGCGATGAGTATCTTATATCCAAGAGCACGCCCAACACAGGTTTAAGCCAAGGTTTCTACATTTGCTCTTTCTTACTCTCATAAGTTATCACTGAAGGTGGTTATCAAGTTGTTTGTTATCAAAATCTTGTGTAGTGCGGTAGACATGAATCTGTAGAGGGTAAGTTATTGCCGAAAACTGCATGGGTGTTATATAGCTGGTAGACAGTGCTCCGACTATATTCCCAGACAATGGTATGACCAATCTTCCTAATCGCTATCTAAGAAGTGGGGAGCCGCGCTGGGTACACGCGATCAAGCTAGCTACATTTTTCACGTAGTACAAAAGAGCGAACAATACCACACATTTACACACTTTATACTAGATTTTTCCTCTAATCAGATACTAAAATAACTGCTTAGTGGAAGTGTTTGATTATGGAATCATCCATCGGTAAAATAAAAACGAGCTAGATGGGTTTGTGGGTGGGTGTCAGAGTAAAATGTATAGCCGCTTCCTACCCCTCACCTTACACAGCTAGGCTATGTTGTATCGAATCCCTGAGCTGGTCTCTCCAGGTCGGCGCATGCAGTATAAAGGCTGTCGAGTGAAGTATTCAAGTGACTACTGCATGTTGCGATTACGATTATATAGTCGTGTTTTTAGGTGTGATGACACGAGAAGTTAGTCAAAACGCAAATTAGTCAAAACATATGTAAATTTGACTTCCAAACATGCCTGATAAATTGGTCTTCACAAAATGCCAAAACTTAGTGTCCATGCTTGAAACTTAAGGCTAATTCATTCATATTGTGTTTGTTAATACAGTATCTTGGTCTGACAAAAGTATACTCTCAAACTCTTCTGTATACTTGGAGAAAACAAACATTTATTTTCTCACTCAATTCTTAGAAAAAAGTATTTTTTTGTGGGTAGGTACACTCTTTGATCCAACATGGCGGACGAATTACATAAAGTATACATCTTAACTATTCACTGGCAATTGAATTCTACATTAGCTATTTAACAGGTCTTTCTGTTTATAGCAAGTAGCATTCTTAATGGATTAGTTTTTAAGAAGCATTTTTCCCACCTCGTTCAAAACATGAAGAAGAAAAAAACACGGATAGTCATGTACGAAATAGCAGGGCGGGAGGAGGGACTTCCTCGTAACTCAAAGGCAAAGCACCGTATTAACCTGTTATTTTCCAAAAGCAGAAGCTCAGGGCTCAAAATATTATGATTGCCAAAAAGACTTCTATGAATAAGGTTACGATTCTTGATGTAAAATTTCCGGATTTTGGATGTTAATGATATGTTGCGTGTTTAGTGATTTGCCTTGAAACTTTTTTATTAAACTACTATGATAGAAAATGGTCCTCTTTTCGCAAACGTTAACAGTTTATCTATCTATCTATCTATCTACTAGCTTTAGCTGTTGTACCACAGCGTGGGACAATCACAACAGAGCTAGGCTCCAACATGATCATGTAGGTGAAAGCCCAAAGATGGAATTAGAATTAAGTATTGGATTTTGGAGTAGGGAGGAAAACCGGAGAACCCGAAGGRAAAACCCTCGAAGCACAGGAGAGAACCAACAAACAACTCTACTCACTTACGACATCGACATCGGCAGGACTCGAACTCGGGCCGCATTGGTGAGAGGCGGCGCACGCCACCGGTGCTTAGTTCGTTAAATTTCTTATCGCGGAAATTATTTATTGGTAATGGAAGATGAACATTTAAAAAATTTAACAGATGATGAATTCCTTGTTTGCTATCGGAAAAGGCACTTCACTTAGTGATATAGTTGAAAGGGAATCGATACATTAGGCTCAATTGCCTATTTATAACTCAAGGGTTTTTAGATAAGCGTTGTTCGGTCAAATCAATGCATGCATGCAGGCTCCCATGCTTTGTGACACACTGACAAGCGATTGCACATGTAGAGCAAGAGTGTTTAATTCTTACTTTGAATCGGATTCAGTGAGCTGACTGCATGAAAGTTACCATGTCATGCGCAAAGGTTCTACTGCCGGTGATCGTTGCGTGACGACACTAAGTAGCGACTGGCACAACATTAATAGTGGTTTCGCAATCATGGTTTTTCATTAATAGTGGTATATCAATGACTTTGCGCCACAATGGTGTTCCAGAGTTCAGCTCAGCCACAGTCTCCGACTTATACTTTTAAGTTACCTCTTTGTGATGACACATTTATGTATTGAAACATGTAATTAAAAATCCATTGGAGTATCCGATCGCCTCGAAGCTTTTCAGTTTATATTCTATTTTTAATTTTTCCTTACAATTATCTACTCACTATCTCTCCTTTGTAATTCCTTTCATTTTTAACAAGGTATGCATATTACTGAGGGGCGTCAATAGAGCGATTGCAGACCAGATAGAGCCTGAACTCATGTTCTAGATTTTCACAAGCACCCAGGTTGCTAGTGTCTCGGCACAACCTGTCAACAGATAGCAATCATTGCAAATTAAGGGTTCACCAAGCTTACTGACACGAATGAAAACATGGAGGTCATTATATCGCTATATTTGTCCTCAACCGCCGAAACTCCTGAAGTCTCAATGATTTTAAAGCAATTAAAGCAATTGCAATGGCTATTACGGTCCCCATTAATGCCACAAACCAGACTTTCTTGTTTGGCATRTCCTTCACAAGGTAACAGAAAAATCGGAAGCCGCGCCAACTGTGCAACTAATTAACAATTTCACTTATAGATTGGGTTTATCATCGATAATCCTTGATAACATGATAGAATTTTCCTTCAAGCAATTTAATTAACTGATTTTCGTTTGTTTTCTTATACTTTTATTTTCTGTTTTTTATTTTTTTATTTTTTAGGTTGACCCTATTAATTGAAAATGAAAGTGCTTTTTCGATAAAGCCTGACTCCGATTTTGAGCCCTCCCGGACGCCGACCAACCTCTCGTGACCCGACTCAGACACTTGTTTAAGTATTGATGGAACAAAAAGGTCCGTTCCACGGCTGACCTATCTGTCTCCAGCCCTTAATCTGTCTCAAAACAAGAGCCTGATTGACAAATACGTTCTTAGGTTTGAGCTTATATTAGGCTTTTTAAAGACCTGATAAACCTAGACTAAAGTTCACCCATGCTCTCATAAATCTGACGTCACTCCGCTTCAGCTGAAAAGCTTGGCTTATTAGTTCTTGTAGAAAGAGTTGGATATTAAGGCTGGCTTGTGTACGCATCGGACGGAACTAGCGCGTTATGCAGTAGGACAGCAGGAGGGCCGATTGATACATACCTTGGTTATATCATGCAACCCGGTCAGAGGGGCTGGCACTATTAGCACGTGTGATTATAGAGAATCAAACAAACATGGCGGATGCTTTGAACGGAGCGTAAAAGTTTACAACAGCTCGGAAAACTCGCCTACTTTTCCCCTACACTGCTGTTAAACTGTCTTACATGGACGAAAACAAGCCATGGTCTCTACTAGACTTATGTTTGAGTGCAGTAGGAAAAAATGGACGTGGGTTGACACCGAAATATTTGCGAGGTGAGAGTCTTGGAAAAGCTTTGAAAACCGTAAGAAAAACCTTCAGAAAAATAGTTTAAAAGCATTCTCTCTTTTTTTTTTAATTGCAGACACTCCGAGGCATCTCTTAATGCAAATACTACAGAGTTTGAATCCGTTTGACTTGGAAAGGCTTGAAGAAGGGGATATTCGCAGTTTGACTGGTAAGTTGAATCTCCGGAAACCATTGCGCATTTGTCATCTTTCTGCTTTTAATTCCGCAAACAATTTTTTCAAGCTTTTGTGGCGCCAAATGTAAAATATACTGAACTAATCCTTTAATCATTTAACTTGCACAATTTGAAGTTCTTTCGATATCGTGCTGGATAGAACTTGGAGGATAAAAGTTAAGGAATGTCCGGCGATCCTCAACTCTGGTATGCAACGATATTATGGAGAAATCACAATACTGAGGGGTGCGTTTGCCAGGAGTGCATTTTTAAACCTCCAGCTTTTTCTAGAAAGTAATTATCTCGGTATTTGATACATGATCGAAATATTACCTTGAGAAATTTTTTTTGATTGCTTCAAATGCGGATTTTTCTTGAGATCCTTCACACATCTTTTGCGTGACAGTGATAAAAGTCATCCCCAAAAGTGCGCGCACATGAATATTATTGCACGAAAGAAGCTAAAATGCTTCAATATAGTAGTCCAGAACATCATGTTCTTGATTCCAATCTATAAAAATAAATTATAAATTATTAAAATGAAAAGAGCTTGAATCATCTGAAAATGAAAGAGGAAGAAAAAAAATTTGTATCATAAAAATGTATAAGATCACTAAGATTCATTTAATTCAATAATATTCTATTTTAGATTTACTGATTATCAACTCATTGATAGCAATATCTTTGGGAGTTTTCAAATAATTTTTTTTTGGATTGGTCATGATCATGCAATATGACCCTTGGAAATGACTTGTTGACAATATTTATATTTGAAATTATGTCCACTTCAAATATTTGTATCTTTAATGGTTAAGTCTGTCCTAAGGATTAAGTCACAGTAGGTTTAATGCCTTTTGAATTCCCCATGGGAGTATTGAATGAATTTAATCCCCATATCAAAATAAGAAATAGATTGTGCCTTTATTGAAAAAAWTAATTTTGGTCTAGTGTTCGGTGTAGTAGTGTTCAGTGTTCGGTTAGAGCTATGATGCTTTAACAAAAGATTTGTTATTCATTCCTAAGTTATATTAACCAATTGGGCTGTCATTTCTTTTGTTCTTTCATTCTCTGGGAGTGAGCAAGTCATTACAAGAGTATTGGTTGAAAATATAAAAAATTGAAAATTTGGTAACTGTAGTCAGGCAAAGCTAAAAAATATGAATTGTATATATACATATTTGTATGCATATGATAAATACAATCATGGTACCTAAAAGCAATCGCAGTGAACAAGCAAGTACTCATTTATTCGCTGTTTAATTTCGACTTTCTTCGTCCATGTTTCCTTCACCTTAGTCCACCCCAGTTAGTTTTTTAAAAAATATTAGCAGTACAATATACTTTATGTCTGTGAGGCATTAAGGTGCATCTTGTTTATGCAAGCATATTATGTTCTATGTCTATACTCAGCATGTACAACATAGTACAGATTCTCTGAATCAGTAGGACTTTCAACATCACTATATCAGGAGTTATAGATGTTCAAAAGCATTTTACGAGGTGCTTATTTAATGATCTTCTTAAAGGGTTGCCATTCACAGCGGTGCACAAGACCTCTAGACAATTATTATAGACATAGATAATCCTTACAGGAAGCAGCATGTGGGAGTTATACGAGACATTTTATCTCGGTTTGAGGACCTGCATGTCTGGAAAATTATTACCCAAGAGGGAGGGGTAAGCAAAATTGCTGTTTAATTGATCAATTTGAAATCCAATCTTGATTGGACATGGGATACTATTCTACCACAGCTTTCCTGGTGGCATTTTTCCTGAAATTTTACCAAGAATTTTCCAGTAGGACCATCTTTACACTTGAGAAAAGAGAACTAGCAGGATTACGAAGCAATTTAACCATGAAACTGAAAACAGTCAATCGCTAAACAAGGCCTGAGGAATTAAACTATACAGGTCTGACCCAAAGTTCACACATCATGCAGCTCATGTGCACTTGATCATAGCATCGTTTAAAATATGCAACTGTGCGATCACAAGAAATACCGTATCAATGAGCTTTGATCATGTTAAAATAATTAGTAACACTGTGAAGTTTGAAGAAAATAAAAATTGCAAAAATATATGAATTTTCAAAAATCTTTATTTTRTTATTTTTTCAAAATTCACACTTTTCAGAAATTTTTTAATTTGCAAGTTTTGAACTGATTTCTTCAAAATTTGCAGTTTTCCATATTATTTCAACATGCTCTTTCCAGCTATGTTAATTATTTTCAAATTGCACTAGTTTTAAATACCTGAAAAAGCTCATTCTACAATTACATTTTTACAAAGTTCCAAAACATTCTAGAAGTTCTTAATTGTGCTTTATTTTATTCTAGCATGCTTCAAATAATTAAAATGTAAGCTACCAAAAATATCTACGGTATAGAACTTTCTAGAACATAGCTCAGTAGGCATATACAGGCTGGATTCCTTCAAAAAGCATTCATCACTTCTCAGTTATTGGCTTAAGGAGTACATCTGTACAAAGCCCAAAAGCTCAGAAGTTCTTTCTTTAACTTTCAAAACATGAAAAAATGAAATTTGTTCAAAAATTCTAAATCATATTTTCATTCTCAATTTTGTGGAGGAACTGAGAAAAGTTGGAGAGAAAGCATCTGTTTAAAGAACATACAGCACCTTTTTTTTTGATAATTTAATACAAGCTTTGTTTATTGTAATCAAACAAACACAAAAGATAAATTGCCATATTTTGTTTTTTAAAAGTTCATGAGGAATTTATGAATTAAAGTGTTTTTTTTTAATCTAATGATCATTAGTCAGGTGATTTTGTAAGATAAAGTAAAAATCTAGTTCTTTGTTGTTTGTGACGTAACTGACCTGGCTTTTATAAGTTATTTTTGTAGTAATGCATGTTAGTGGATCATCTAGAACACCTCCTAGACATTCAAGAAGACAATGATGTACATGTATTGTGCCTTAATATTTTCAATACGTAGCAATATTGCAGTGTGAATAATGGTAATAATACTTTATTAGGAGCATGAAAAAACTGAAATGAAGTGTTAAAGTCATAAAGTGTTTTTAAGACTCCCAACTGGCAAGGAGGCAAACCAGTTGGCTATTACAAGCATGGTCGAGAACCTGAATTTGATCTAATCAGAAATCAGGACAAATACCGTCCAGCTAGTGGCCACAGTGGGACTCAAACCTGGCACCACCAGATTGTTAGACTGATGCTATGACCACTCGACCATGCTGCCTCCATCGACAGTGTGTTGGATCCAGGGGGAGGGTTAGGGGATATGTACCCCCCAGTCATACCCGAGGTTCGACTGATTGTTTTTATCCTAGAATTTAGTTTTGCACAACCAGTAAACACATGAAAATCTATTATGATTATGAACTAATAATTTATTACTTGTGTATCAATCAAGTAGGTATACAGTCCTTTGACTAAACGTTGTCGTTGATCGGATCATCCCTACGGGCCTAGACCGAAAATGATAACGGGTAAATTACCCAGAACTTGCGTCTTCTAAACTGCTCGCCAGTTTAAATCTTCGCTGTATGCTTGAGTTATGGTTTTAGCAAATGAAATGGGATCGAAAAAAGCAAGCTCAAGACGTGTTAGATAACATATGCCGCAGCTAGTAACTGTGAATTAATTATCCCCATGATCCTTTTTGGTCTATGCCCGTAGGGATGAAGCCGATCAAACGACAACGTTTAGTTAAAGGACTATATACTGTTACAAGCTATTGTACCTCTTACGTAATCCCAGATGTCCAAAAAAATTTCTAATATAATTTTAATTTTGCGATAAATAATTCCTAAGCATTTATGAGGTTAACAAGAGTTTGTTTTGTTAGTTTTTTGTAGGTATCAAAATTTCAAACAAATACTTTAATGACTAAATTGTAAATCTGCATCATTATTCAATAATAATTTGAACTGCACTGAAGTTTATCTTTGGTATTTACATATTGCTTTAATCTGGAATAACTCCCAGAAGCCAGGTAATGTTAGTATGACTTGCTTGTTGACCTTTTAACAGATGTGATCTCAAAAACATATCATATTTCCAAGCTAGATCTGGTGCATGGCTGGTGTGCAACATATGTAGTTATAACTAGAAATTTCTTTTTTTCTTTTTTTCTTTTCTTTTCTTGAATTGATACCAGCATATATTGCTGAAGTGTTTATTCTGTGTAAATGTTCATGTATTATTTATGTATTATTTGGGTATTATTGTTATTACTTTTAATTAACTCATCATCATGCTTGTGTTCATGCTTCTGCTTGTGTTGAGCCAATTTTCACACATAAATATGGACTCTGACTCTTGCTTTTATTGGGTTCTTGGGTTTTTATGATCTCTAGTTGATGTTTTGCACAACATTGGATCAATGCCACATTGCATGATTAATCTTGTCTATACATGCAGATGATTGACCTAACATTACACTAGCCGGATGTTTTTTGGGCACTCTCTGCAGGGTCGAAATAAAGATCTTGTCGATCACTATGCTCTCAATACTCCAACACATGGGAAAACTACATGTAGCCGTGCAATAAGAAATTGCTCCTGCATCCAATATGCACCCTAATAACTATACGAGGGAATTGAAATTAATGAGCAGGAGATGATACTCAACATAATATACCATGAAGAATAGAGCAAAATTGAAAACTTTGTCAAGACCCTTAGTTGTCACTCCATTTATAGATGAGATGCAATCAACAAAGAGAGATAACGAAATGATAATGCAAGCGATGCCCATCCACTCTTTTTTTTGCAAAAATGCTTAGTTTCAAGGGCAATTTTTTCAAAACTTTGCAATTTTCTTTTTATCAATGTGATAAATTTGAGGGTGAACTACTAACGTGTAATCCTGAAGCACTTATGCAAACCTTAAAGTGTATATGACACGAAAACATTCCATCATTTAAAATGTATAGTTTGTTAGTAATAATAAATATATCGTAACAAAATTTGTTTCAAAAGCTTATTTCTTGAGATATTTGCGAAAGTTAATCCCAATTTGTGACGTCATTTTGTTGACACGTACTCTAGATTCAGTAGTATTGTACTAAATATAAATTGTAATTCATATGAATTAACAACAAAAGACATATTTTAGTCAGCTTCATTTGATAGCTTACGTAGTACTCTTCCAATGTCGGGAAACTGAAAAGTGTACTACTTGAAATTAAGATTCTATATTCAAACATATTTCATGTATTTGCAACTAAATCTGGAGACTTGTAAACAAAATGACGTCACAACTCGTGCTAAATTTTCTTGAATTTCTAGAGAAATACGTTTTTGGAACAAATTTAACCGTGATATTCTTATTAATGCCAATAAACTACACATTCTTAACATTAAAATTTTTTCGTGTCATATACACTTTAATAGCTATTTTAGATATCAAAATATGTCATTGTTTTTCTGGAATTTGGCCAGTTAGTACATTGTTATCAAAAGGTTAATAAATCAACTACTTCTGTTTGATTAGTGTGATTATGTTTCCTGTGATATCAGTCGAGGAGATAGCAATGTACGTCTACCAATGTCATAGGTCGTTTCTAGTTTAATAACGAAACAATATGAATTCTAAATTTAATATTTCTTTGTATGTGGGATTCAATCATTTCAGGCATAAAATGAGGCTATCTTTTTGTCGTCTTTATTAAGAATTCTAATCCAGCTTTGATACAAACAACATCATAATTAAGACATAATTAGCAGAATATACATGTTTCTACCCAAGCTAGACCTGAATGCATCATGCATGTTCTCTGTCTCAAAAAAAGGTTTTTTATAAACAGATTACATAAAAACCTTGAATATAAGTGCATTCCTCTTCTCAAATACTTTGAAATGTTTTCTCTTTTTGAAATGTTCTCTTTTTGAAATGTTTTCTCTCATTTTGAAATATATGGGCCAGGATAACTGGCATTAAATTCTCTAGTTTCGAGTTCTCAGTTGCTCAGGCGTAGACTCGATTTTGTGCAGAATATTGATTTGTTCCAGTGAAGGTCCATGCAATTTCAAAGTGTTTGTATTGTAAGTTTTGCATTCTTTACTTTACTGTTGGTATTTTTGAATGCTTAGACACTGATTTAAGGCTGAGTAAATGAGTCTGACTAATCAAGGAATGTTCACAGCAGTAATTTGGAACTCTAAAATGATCTATTACCTATATGTCAGCTGTTTTTCACTCATTGTTGAGCTCAGAACTTTCATGACTACAGGTATATCTATTAATGTTTTTGATGCAATTTCTGCAATAATGCCACCAGAATCATCAAGTTAAAAAAGTATTTTGTGACGTCATGACTTCGGTACTTTATAGCCAAAGGCTGAAACTTAATCTAATTATCCAGTAAACTCCTATGGTTTAAGGTCAAATGTTTAAAGTAAATGGAGAAGTAAGTGTTAGACGAGACCGGAAGAGAATTGAAGAGTTTTTTATAATGTCTAGTCTATACTCCTGTTTGGCTTCTTAATGAGATATATAAGCACAAGAAGCACATGCTCAGTTTTCTAACCTTTGAACGTAGTTAATTTAGCAACTGACAAGTCCTTATGAACCATTTAAATCTGTCATTGTCTAAAAACCACAGGGTGTCGGACCATCAAACTGTAATTATTACTTGTACCCTTAAGTGGATGTGTATACAATATTATGTCGAGTGGTTGATCTGTATGGATATCTACACTGTACAAGGATGAGCTGGAAGTAAGCCATTGTAAATCCTATTCAAATCAGACACAAATATTGCAAATCAAATTTCTAGGAGTAAAATTTCATTTTTCACTGAAATCTTTTATCATGTAAATCCAGTTTACTGACTTCTTCATGGGGTGACTAATTTCTATTGTGTTTTTCCTCATTAAATTATTATTTTAAAACATAATTTGATATGAAATATACAGACCATACAATTTATATTCATGACCAATTACACATTGTAACCGACCTTTTTGCAGCAGAGGGACAAAAACCAAAGAACCCAGAAAAACCTTCAAATAGATATTGATACCCTAAAACGATCTCAGGACTGGTCCCTTGAAGCACAGAATTGATCCATTGCAACAAAGACAATCACACACCTTTATGAGAACCCTACCAAGTTGCAATATGGCACACGAGCAGCATGCGCAGATAGCTGTCATTTTTGCATGCAAACATCATCATCAGCCATCACCAACAAAGACTATGGAGTACCCTTGAAAGTGGGGACTCTTGGAAAATATAAGACGCAAGTAATGCAAAAGGGATTTAATGCGGAGGGACGAAAGCAACCCAGCCCCTCCCCCTCCCTGCAGTCCCTGTTCAATGTCAGATATCAAAGTAACACTCTATTGCCTTCAAACAAGACTTGTTTCAAGTAGAGCTGACTTATGCTGTCAATGTACCTCGCAGTTCCATAAGCAGGGGTTTCATTAAAGATGAGGGTTCGGAGAATGCTCTGGTAAATGAACGAAATCCTAGGCTTAAACAACCACTTATAGCTTAGTAATTTGGGAAATGTTCACTTAGACTCTCCTTCTAGTTCATGACCTTCTCCTATCATTTCAAAACTAATCAACCCCCTGCATAACAGTACTGTTTCTCCCGCAGGTATCGACACAGACAGTTTATGGCAATTGCACTATTGTCAGCAGTGGCGCCATAAAGGCAGGTGGCCAGAGTCATACTATCAGGCTGCTAAGAACAGTAGTAGGTTAAATGAAAAGATCCCCTGGCGTGTTCTCTATTGGCAGCGACATTTCCAGGAAGTTGTGAATAGTACTGAGGCCAAGACAGGTCAGTGGAATGAGACCAATTAAAATGAAAAAGATGCATGTGTGAGGGAAATTGCATTTAATTTGAGATCTTGATACCCTGAGGGAGTCTAATTAAAATTTGAAGGGAGAGTGAAGTTGAAATTCTTAGGGGGGAGGGGTAAGAGCTAAGTGAACATTTCTGGGAAAGGGGGTAAGAGTCAAATGAAAATTTGAAGGGAGAGTGTAACACTCAAGTTGAAATTCTTAGGGGGAGGGGTAAAAGCTAAGTGAACATTTCTGGGAAAGGGGGTAAGAGTCAAATGAAAATTTGAAGGGAGAGTGTAACACTCAAGTTGAAATTCTTAGGGGGAGGGGTAAAAGCTAAGTGAACATTTCTGGGAAACGGGTTCAGAGTCAAATAAGAATTCGCAGGGAGAGTATAACACTCCAGTTGAAATTCTTGGAGGGGGGGGGGGGGGGGGGGGGGGGGGGGGGGGCTAAGAGCCAAGTCAAAATGTTTTGGGAAAGGGGGTAATAGTCAACTAAAAATTTGCAGGAATGGGGTAAGAGTCAAGTGGAAAATTTCTGTGGGGAAGGGGGTAAGAGTTGAATGGCAATTCCTGGGGGGTGGAAGTTGGAGCCAAATTGAAATTTCTGGGGATGCATAAAGCCAAATGCAATTGTATTTCATCTTTTTTTGTTGAAAAGCCATTAACCAATAGTTTCAGTTAGATGGGTGAAGTGAAATCACTCTAGGAATGACTCCATTATACTCTCCAAACAATAATTTTCTTGTATTTTAAAATTCAGCTGTTGTTCACTGGCATCCAGAAAGCCGTTCCCTTCCTCAAGACTCCAAGGATGGAATGAGGGCAAAAGCAAGTGAACTATTTCTCCAACAATCTGCTGGAAGGTTTGGCAAGTATGCCACTTATCTAAGACTACACAACTCGGCATTGACTTACTTATCTACGCATTTAGACATATTCCAGGAATTTGCCAGCCACGTTGAATTTTTGGAAATCTATCATCTACGGGAAAATGGTGTTGATGCCATGTGTTCCCTTCTTCAAATCCTTCTGGCCAAGAACCTGAAGTCTGTTGGAATGTGCTTTCCTAAAGTGAGAGATATTAATCTCTGGAGTAAGATACTACATATAAGTTCTACTGGGTTTGTTACCAGTAAACCTCAAGTATCTATCGGGAAGGTGCAAGCTGTTAAAAATGCTAAGGTTACTAAGACTGCACCTAATCCTACTCCCCCTGCAACCCCAAGCCCCACAACACCAAAGCCATTACATCTATATGTTGTACAAGGACAGAATGATATACGCCTAGGAGTGATTGATGGCTCAATAAATATTATTAATGAACAGCCACCAAGTGTGCATTCAAATACTGGTACCACGAATGATGAATTAATCAGTAATTCCAATGATGTTACGAATGGACATGTTGTTTCACATAGTGTTACTGATGCTAATCTAAGCCAGGTTACCAGCGTCAACACACCAAACCACATCAAGGAATATGACAATATTGATTTTTATGACTTCGATGAGCACAGCAAAGACATTCTGGAAATTCAGGAGTCATCTGATCACTATAAGAATGGCAATGGCATAGAGGATGTTCATTTTGATTCTAACGATCTTTATTCAGAGGTGTTTCATAAGCAAACTATAGATATCAGCGAAGATGCAAGTTTCTCTTTCCATGATCTCTTTGGGCCAAACCTTCTGGAAGATCACCATACAGGAGTGACAAGAGTACCACCGGAGGAAAAAGAAGTTGTGAAGGAGATGCCACCAGTTATTCAGATCCCAGCACCCGAAACCCCTGAAGCAGTTGGAGGGTTCTCTTTTCTTCAGCATTTTGAATTTTCTTCGTTTTGGTTTCATGATGATCTTCTTTTTCTTTTTGCTAAGTCATTGAGACAGTGGCATAACCTGGAGTCCTTAGTTCTGAGAGACAATGCAATAGGCTTCCAGTCTAAAGGAAAGATCTTAATCGATGCTCTAATACCGTTATGTCTAAAAGGGAAATTAAAATATCTCAGAATCGAAATCAACCCAGTCGATGATCATTTTGTGTCATTGATAAGTGAAGGCATTGGAACCTACTGCTCAACTTGCCATTCAGGTGTCCAGACGTCCCTCAGGGTCCTCTATCTTTCGTCCAGTAAGATCACTGCATTGGGTGTCAGTCACTTAGCTGGGAAGCTCTTAAATAAATGCACATGTCCTCCCAAACCATCTGAACTGTTGCCGCACAGCCGAAAATTTAGGAAAAGTCTTCCTGAGCCTTTGTCATCCTCAAAACGGCGCCGACTCTCCCGATACAGTCGTGACTCTCTGCCAACGAAAATAACTGCTGATGACTCCTCATCATCAAGTGACAGTATGAGCAGTACAAGTAGCAGTAGCTACTCGATTAGCTCGCAAGATTCCGATTCACAGGACAGTTTTTCTCAGGAGTTGACAAGTCTCAAACTGACTAAGACCCCTGAGCCTCATTTTGATGGTCTTCAGGAACTGACAATATGTAGCACAATAGGCGATGAAGGGGCGTTTACCCTCTCAAGTGTTTTAGGTAATAATAGTACTCTAAAATATTTGGCCTTACCAAGCTGTGGTATGCACACTGCTGGGCTGGCATCAATCTTCAGAGCCATATCAGGTATAATATTAATAGTGAACAGTTAAAGTGAAAGCATGGCGAAGTAATGAAGCACAATTCTCATACTCATTAATTGTCGGCTTTGAAATATTACATAAAAAGTGGACATACATGCATTGAGTTTACAATCATCTCATTGTTCCATCCATCCATCCATCCTATTCCACTCTTTTCCCTTCCCTCCCTCCCTCCCTCAATCATTCATTCATCCATTCCAGATTAATTTTGTCCAGATTATTTTTTTAATGAATAGATAAGAGATTCAATGCCATTTCTCTTTTAAAGGTGAATCCAGCAGAAAATGCAACAAAACTCTAAAAACCTTGATTCTTCGAGAGAACTCTTATGAACCTTCACACGATAACAGTTTATCTGTTCTCCTCAAGAATGGAAAACTAACAGAGCTAGATATAAGTTTCTGTGGACTTGAAGGTAAGAAATTTTATAGACTGTGGTTATATCTAGATGATGATAATGGTGATGGTGATGGTGATGGTGATGGTGATGATAGTGATGACAATGATGATGGTGATGGTAAAGATGATGGTGAAGATAATAGTTGCCATGACAATGGTGATGAGGGTGATGGTTATAAATTAAGATGATGATGATGGTGGTGGAGATGATGACAATGATGAAGGTGAAGTTGATGATGAAGTTTGTTTTGTTGCAGTGCTGATAATGGTGGTGGTAGTGGTGGGGGGGGGGGGTAGGGGGGTAGTAGAGCTGATGGGGATGTTGTCAACACAACTGTTTCATAAAAAGATCACATACAATACAGAACTAATATAGTATGTGGTCTTCTTACCCAGACTAGGCTAAAATAGTAATCGTACTAAATAGATTAAATAGDTGAATCTATGATAACTACTTTAAATCAACAATTATAACCTTTAAATCTTTAATGTTTATTCGGGTAAAATGTCAATGTATTTTATTATACACGATACCGAATAAAAAAGTCTGTCTGTCTGTCTGTCATTACTAATCATAGTGGTTATTGTTGTGGTCACATTAATGACGTTAGTGATGATCATGGTAGTGATCGATGGTGATCAGAAATATTGCCCTCCTTTCTCCAATTCCTTGATCCTCCACAAAATAATAACAAAATAATCATTAATAATTTTCTTACAGTTCTCAGTGGCGATGTCATTAGTTCACTGGGCCAAAACTCAAGTTTAAAAAGTCTGAATATTGCAGGAAATAGACTTGGTAAGATATTATGTGAGAAGATAAGTCTACACGAAACACAGAATAAAAAACGACATTAGCAGCTATAGGGAGACTAAATTGTTGCCAATTTTTTTACATGTAGGTGATGCCGGGCTATCAGCTCTTTCTCAGATATTCAGCCAACCAGGATGTTCCTCGAATTTGACAAAGCTGGACCTCAGGTAATATAAAGTAATTACCAAAAAAGATCTACTGTATTTACTTGTGTAAGCACCGTGCGGCTCATTAAATTTTTTGGGTTTCATATGCTTTGTTAATCCGGGGGCGGCACTTATTAATAATTTTAGTCTTAGATGTGGCACTTGTTGAGGGTTGTCCAATACACACGAAATGAAACGGATCGTCATGACCTGTCGCAATCCATCATGATTTCAAAGGGGGCCTCATTGACCACAGGAAACCCATGTAAATGTTAAGTTACATCCCTGTTGATTTGTGTATTAATGAAATGACTTCTGGTAAGACGTGTTGTCAATACCACAGGAAGCCCAATGCTAGACCAACTCTAGTTGTGAATCGCTGAAATGGGCTTCCTTTTCATACTTTTGCACCTCGCCCTGTAATATTCATTTTTGCACTTTTTTCTCATTTACAACTATTGAAATTAATTGCAGTTACAATCAAGGTACAGCAGCTTCCATCGGCACCCTTGCATCAGCACTTCATAAATTCTTACCCAAGCGACTTGAAGAAATCAACTTGGCAGGAAACTTCTTGGGTTCATGTGTCAGTAAAGTAGTGTCCAGTATTCGTCCTCTGGTGAGGAATGTGTTTGCTGGCAATCTGGATAGCAGTACGATATATGCTGATTATATTAGCCAAATGTGATTCTTGTGGCGTTGCTAACGGATCATTAATTTTTTTATTTTGACTGAGAAACAATTTTGAGGATGTTTGAGTGATTTTACTTTGCAAGTGAAACAAAGATGTATAATTAATATCTAACCGTCAAAGTGAAACAAAAGAAATTAATGGAATTAGCATAACATTCATTATATTGTTTGGTACTAACTATTTCTTTAAAGGCCAAGTAAAATTACTCTAATCTTAGGAATGTACTCATTAACCTTAAATAGCTAGTAGAGGTTACTAGATGACCCCCCCCCCCCCCCAGTCCATTATCCAAAAAATCCTGTGTTCTGATTGGCTGTGTGAGCAGGCAGTATTTTTTATCTCTGTTTTCTGGTATACTGATGTAAGGCTTACATCACTCAAGTGTGCATATGGAAAAACTAATTGTTAAACGACAAAACAAATTTCAAATGCCTTGGTCTTGAAAACGGACCGGGGCCTAAGATTCAAGACCTCGGGCACAGTTTTTCCTTATTCAGATCCACTTTAGGCCCGTAAATAGCGTTGATTATATTTCAGTCTTGTTTTCTGTTGACATACATTTATTTGTATTACACATCAACAAGTAATATTTGTTTCATGGGTTAAGTAAAATCACTTACATTTGTTGTAAGATGGTGTCATGGATTGGTTTAATTTAAAAAGTTAAGAGTAGACATTATAATAAATCATATGCACACATATGGTGTTGATAATAAAAAGGTTGGCTTCATAACATACTAAGTTGGAATCGTACTATAGGCAATGTGAATGCAACCAGTAAAAGGTTGCAACAATATAAAATTGTTTCCAAACTTTTTTTTAAATTTTTATTATCTCAGCATATTTTCTCACATGCTGACATTATTTACATATGATCCACACAATACATTTCAAGCTTGATATACAAGGGGCAGAAAAACCTTAGAGGGTATAGGTTATAGCTGTTAGAAGTGGATGTACAGTACAAGGGTATGGACATTATAAAGTCTTAAGAAAGGTAATGGTATTGGTAAAACAGTGAAGTATGGTGGCAAAGCGGGGGATGCTTTGCAGGTCTAGTGATAATAAAGGTGTAACAGGGAATAATGGTTTTTATTAAGTATTATGCTAGAGTTCACACAGGAAAAAAAAAAGTTTGTTGGGAATTTTTGTTTTTTTATTGGGTATTAGAAGGAAATTCCCAACAATAAATCCCAACGTTGGTGTTCAAATTGGGAATTCAAGGAAATTCCCAACAATTCCCAATTTGGGAATCCGGTTTTTTTTACTGTGTCAAACRATATAAGCATGAAACTTTAGTAATACTAAATAGCGCAATTTCATGCAAATTCCATTGTTTTCTATTGTTTAATTAGCACTATTTTGTACTATTTAGTAATTAGTGTTTCACGGATTAATTGTTTGCACTCTAATTTTGAGGAGTTTTATCTAATATAACCATGTTGTAAAGTAGGCACAGTACATGCAAAGATATTTCATTTTCATGACAATGTTAATGAAATATGTTAATATGATTTCAATGCGCTGATAAAAGTATTTCAATCTCTTTATCTGCTCTAAATTTAGTTAGATACTAACCACCACATGCACTACACTTGCTGTCAGCCATAATCTACGATGGCAATAGATGAAACGCAATATCATTTTGCATGCTATAGGTATATAATGATCATACAATTGCCACTTTAGTTTTAAATTTTATAATAGTTAGTATTAAAGCTTTTATTGTTTGTGCAGCAATTGATTGTAAAAATAAATAATTATAAATTAATAATAAAATATCTAAACAAGACTTATTTGTTACAAGCAAATATTTTGTAAGATGAACCTAAATGAATGTCCTGAATTAAATGTGTAATTATTATAATTCTATGGAAATATCAATTGCAATTAAATTTTTCTTAGAAGCCTTTTTTGTTGTCTTTTTTCATTTTGTTGGGCCAATTCGTCGTAATGAGGAATAAAATGGATATAATTAAACAAACGTCTTACAACTTTAAAGCTCATGAAAGCTAAATGAAACAAGAAGTTTTGTTTTCAGTGGAATGATTATTATATTGAATATCATTACAAATTCTGCACTGTATTTTAAGCATACTATAATTGCAGACTAATTTGCAGGTTTCATGCAGAGCTGGTTGGAGACCAGAACTTGTGATTGTGTATATTTCAACTCTTTTTTACGAGTCACATGTAATTTACCTAAAAACGTCTTGATATGAATTGCAAATAGCTTGTTAGGCCCTAAGGCAAAATTGAAAAAGAGAATCCCTTTTGAATTTAACATAATAAGAAATTGAATAATATCCAAAAAATACAATTCGTAGAAATATCTGAGGTGCATATAATTGAAATACTGCAAGATATTTAAAAAAAAAACGAGTTGAATAGGATATTTTTTCGAAATTGTACAACCAATGTTTAAAAGGAAAATAATTCCAATTTTTTTGGAAATACATCATGAAGCATTTTTCTGTGCATATTATATTTGAACAGGTCTGTTATTTAAAGCTGAAATAACCGTAATTTTTTAAAATAAGATGGGAGATTTCAGTGTGTTTACAAATGTCAAATTTAAGGCCAAGGCTAGTATTCCCCAATTATCAATATTCATATTTTCATGATGTGTATTTAAGAGCGTAGGATATCTCCTTTTTTGGTATAGAGAATGAAAATCTGATTTAATTAATGTTATTGACATCAAACTAAAAGGGCTCTGAATTATTTATCATGTGGGTTGTGTGGCTAGAGTAGGGGATAGTTTTGTAAATATTTACCAGTGTAACTATAGCAACTGAAAAATATTTCTGTATTTTGAAGCTGAAATGTCAGTTTTTCACAATCTTCAATATCATGTGAGTTAAATGAATATGAGTATTGCAGAAAAATTTACTTATAAGGAAAAACTGGGGATTTTCTTGATTTATGATATTATATACAGGTGATGATACAGATAAGTATTCTAGGAAAGGGAAAAATCCCAGGTTTTAGGAAAACATTTCTTTCTGGAAAATTGGCCTTTTCATATGTTGAATTCCATTGCTGTTTTTTTAACACTAGAGTTTATCATTTTTCCTTCTTTTTCAAGTTGAAAAAATAAAATAATACGAGCTAAAAGTGTGTTTTTGCATGCACAAAACGTATATATTTTTTCCTGTAAACTCCTTTCATGGCACACTTTTTTTACGGTGAACTAAATAAGAATGCGAAGACAATATTTACCAGGAAGTGAATAAATACCCCATAATTCTTTTATTTCATTTTTGCGGTGAAAAGATGGAACTCTTAAGCCAACATTTTTCATGCATGTATGCGTTTAACCTTTCCACTTGCTCCAAATAAATGAAACTGGAAACCTACTGAACTATTCATTACTAAATCGTTCAACTGTGGAACATATTTTCGGGTTTTTCCCAGATGTGGTGGGGGGCTTTAGTTTCGAGAAACGAAAATGTTTGAAAGTAGAAAACATGTACAACGGAAAACACCGGGTTTTTTTTTTACAAAATAAGAAATAAAGTTTTATATCCTTTACATTGTGAATGGATATTAGTTCCCAACGAGGTGCCAATTGCCTTTGATTTTCGGTCACGTACTCGTGACCAGCAGGCAATAGGAGTGCCAGGAATATCTAATTTTAGAACCAACTAACTTCTCCGCGACGCAGGAAGTCGGCGATATCATCGTAGTTCTTGGAAAAAAAGGAATTTTTTGAAAGCTGCATGCGGTCCACGTTGAAGGAAATTCTCGGAGGCTTCTCTGAGTTGTCAGATTGATAAAGGAAGTATTTGGACGTGCCAAAGTGTATCACATACGATCGCTAGTTTACACTTCAACGAGTTCCGGTTTCTGGTTGCATATTTCATTTCCTTATATGGAATACCTGGGGGAAAAATCCCTCTTTTATATCCATTTACTTTCGCTTTATAATCAATATATTATAGAGATTAGACAAAAACCATTTTCAACCTCATTCTTCATTTTATTAACATATTATAAGTTAATTCTTCGATACCCAAAGCCATAGTTAGCAGTTATGGGCTTATAAAAATGTCTCTTGGACAAAAAATTGTCTACAATAACGAAGAAAAAGAATGAATATAATTATTCTCAAAGCGGTTTGTGAATCGTAGTTTACATCTTTAATTTTCTTATTATTTTATTGAATAAATAGATATACTATAAGCCATTTCACTTAACCATAAATATCAAGTATATTCCTATAAGTACAACTGACTTCGGAAATACATATCTTCGTATATTTTATATATATTTATATTGGTTATACAAACGAAATTAAACGCAAACCAATGTTTTCAACTGGTTTTCTAATATAGCACTGAAATGGTTTCCACTTCATTACATCTTTCTAAAAAATGCTAGCATTGCTTTTATCAACTTAACTGAATTGCTGTGTCCTTTCTCTGGTCAACAGAGAGATCTCGAAATACCAGATTTCAAGATGGACATTCTTTGTGCGATTAAATATTGTTCATATTCCTTGTTCTTGTTCGAAGACCAACTTTCAAGCCATTTTGAATGTGCTGTTTGCGTCACGCACCTGTTGCTTTACAGACGCAGTCCACAATCATGAGCACTATTTCTCCTAAAAACAATGCTCTTTTCGGTCAAAATGCCACTGCCATGGAGGCAAGACTTGACCAATAGATAACTTCTCATAAGTCACAGTTCGATCACAATCCTTACGAATTTGAAGCCGATAGATATACTTTACATCCTTCATTGATGTGTTTCATTACTTGTTTTTTCAACTGGCAAATCTGTTCTCGTAACTCGAACGCTTCACTTTGAAGCCCAGAGTTTTTGTCTTTGAGTTCTTGTACCTTCTTTTCAAGGTCAGCCTCTTTTTCTAACTTTCTACGCCGGCACTTTGAAGCAGCCAGACGATTTCGGAGCTTTTTTCGTTCGCTTTTAACGGCTTCCTGTAGGTCTAAGTCAATAGGAGGCAGAGGGGGTGTGCCAGGAACGACCTGCAATGAATCTTCCACCTTCACTTTAGCTAACTGACCTTGATTACTGTAGCCAAAGTTCGCAGCAGCATTTTGAAACTGCGGCTGAGCATTCATAGTGCCTCCAGTACTCTGAAACTGTGGAAATATCTGCGAGGTAACATTTCTTGTGCGTACCGATTCAAGCGGAAGTTCACCAGTTGATATCGTAGACAATGTGTTCGAAGGATAACTTTGAACCGTGGTGAAATTTTCGTCAGAAGTAACCAACATTTGTGTGGCCAAAGGAACTGTAGAAGGCTGCACATTAGCTGGTGCTTGAGTGAATACAGGTTTTGTAGGAACTCCAATGCTTGAAGTAGTTTGATTTAGAGTAAAAGCTGCGTTTGATATAGCCGTAGATCCTGGTGGACCTTGCTCTTGGTGAAGTTTCTGAAGAGCTTCTAAAAATCCTCTAGCGTATAATTCTTGTTGCTCTGTAACAGATAAGTTCGCTGCTGAATTCTTCAATCCTTGAGGTGTTGGAGTAACAAGGGATCCACAATTTAAGATCAATTTTTCGAGTTCCGGTGAAGCTAACTTAAGTAAGTTCAAATCCGGCGAAGTAAGAATCGAGTTGTCGAAAACGCTTTGGCTGCGAACTGTGGCGTTGAGGTCTAGTTTCATGGCTGTTTTGTCGTACATCGTGTGTTCAGATGAAGAATCTATGGGCATAATCTCGTCCTCGTAAAAAGGGACTTCCATTCAATTCTATCAGAACTGGTTAAATGACTTTTACAACTTCCGAATCAGCTGAGTTATGTGAAACGATGTTCTATACTCGATTGAACCATACTTTTATCCCACTACGCGTTTTCAAGATATACTCGAGTTAATTTTGAGTATGATGTAATGGGATTTCTGATTGGCTGGTCTGTGCAATTATTCGGTATTACGTGCTATGATTGGTGGGATGTGTCTCCCATGGGATATTTCATGTGACATCTCGAATATACCGATGACGTATTCTTCAAAACACGCTGTAAACAAAAGCGTATTTCCAAGGACAACGCGATAGCGCGAATTTTCTCTTCGAAAAATTGAACGTGTCCTACTAAAAATTGTAGTGGGATTCTAGGAAATGGGGTTTTATGCAAAGATCTACACTTATCCTACCGAAATGCAAAAGTTAATTTCAATCTTAAGACGAAAATACGAGATTTGTCGTAATAAAACAGATGATAATAGAAAGGTTGAAATGTGAGCTGAAATCGGTAGAGTTGTCGATATATTTAACACTGCAATTCTGAAATTGTGCCAAATATTAAAACCTTTGGCGCATGACATGACACAGCAAATTCACAATCCGATTCCACCAGGGATTTTTGCAAAATTTCTGCTGATTTTACTAAAAATATAATCAAAGCCTACGCTTTAACGCGGTTTGATGAGACGTGACTTGTAAAAATATTAATTAGCATAATAAAAGATAGCGACGCTTTGTGCCCCACCCTCATAACTACGTCAATCAAATTTGCAATTCTAAAGAAGTTTCCGGAAACGGAACTTAAAAGCTTTGACATGATGGTTTCCTGCGAATATTTAGATTGATCAGTACCGGAAACGAAATTGTGGAAATTTGAACTGAATGTGCATATAACTAATACTCTTGTTTTCTCTCTTTTCCCTTTATTTAAGAATACTTCTTGCAAAAAATTCTTAAAAGAAAGCAGTTTAAATGAGTTCTTATTTTTTAGCTGATTTCACCTTGACCTTCATTAAAGGCACACCAGGCAAACACACGTGTACCCCGGCGTTCCAGGAAATCAAAGAAATAGAGGGCGTTTGAGTAGGTTTTGAACTGGATCTAGAGATTTTTATCAGCTTTTAATAACCTGTGTGAGCATAGGAAGTAAATAGTTCGAAGGATTAAAATGCTTTAAACAACTTTTCACCTGTGACTGACTCCCTGGTTGATCATAAAATTTAGGCATCAAGATTTCAAATATTTGGCGCCAAAAACTGTCCGCGCGCGCCGACTTGCAAGATTTTTGGCGGGAGAGGACTCAAGCAACTTTATTTCAAGGAAGCCATTTTTCAGTCATAATATTTTCTTTATTTTAAATAAAAAAAAGTTAGAAAAATAAGCATAAACTTATCTAAAAATAATGGAAAGTGTTTCTCGAAGTCTTACCTCTTCAAAACAGCTGTATTCCGGCGATTCAAGACGAGAAAATACCTTTTTCACTCCAGGACAGCTCACAGAATCGACGAGTTCTTCAGCTTTTGACAAAAGTAAAGACACCAGTTTTGGAAAAAGACGAATTACGGATGGTCCAGGTTCTTTTTCTGAAAGAAAAAGGCTATCTTCAGTTTCTTTGGATCCTTGCTCCATTTCAAATGCGAGTATAACGTCTTTGAAGAAGCCAGTACGAGAGATAGATCAAGATTTATGCGATAGAGATATCAATATTCACAATAACAACAATCGCCTTTTTGAGGACGATGAAGAAGAGAGTGAAACTGTTAAGGTAAAGATTAGAATATTCTTTTAATAATATATAATACTAAGAATTAAAAATAGCTGAATTAAAAGTTGTAAAGTTCCCGGTCTTTCAAAGATTCATTTTTCTAACTTTTGGCTCTACCAAAATTTGAGATTTTTTAAAGACCCTGGTGTGGCTCGTACCAAAATTTGGATTTCTTTACCGAAGAATTACTATTGAACTGACAAATCGTTTTGCATTTTATTGATTGAAGAAAAAACTAATACTGCATGAGTCTATCTTCTCTAGCAGAGGATAAAACTGGGTCTTTTTAGTACTTTTGACCGATGCTTTGATAAAATTGTTCTTTAGACTGTTCTGTCTACGGTATGGAGTGGAGGAAAACTGGGTGTGGCTTATTACGATACCAACTCGGCACAAATCAGCTTAATGATGGATATAGTGGAGACCAATGACTTCGAAATTTTGAAAAGAGGTTAGAAAAATCTGCAAAAGTAGATAAAGCGTTATCTTTTCTTGCGTGAAAGACATTCTTCTGTCACCCATCTTGTCAGTTATATGACAAGACCTCACCCAGTTGCGCTGATATATATTTTATTATCTAACAGTTAAAGACCAAGTGAACCCAGATATAATAATAACAAGTTCAAAACAAGATGAAAGATTCTTGGCTATACTACGAGGAATAGGTAAGGGATTATATATAGTCGGTTTGCAACCCACAATTTTTAATTGATACTTCTTAAAATTGGAAATCTACTAGTGGCTTTAAAGATATTTTTTCCTATACTTTGCGTTTGATTTTTTTGTCTTGAAAATTGTAATAACAGAGGGAGAAAATAACGAGGAGACGATGTTTAAAGCAACCGAGGTTGAAATTCTTCCAACTATTGATTTTTGTAAGTATTTTGCTTCATACTCTGAACTCTCATTTAATGATGCCAAAATGGCCAGATAACACTCAATGTTTTCGATTTATTTACCTCTTAGCACTAGAAGTATGCAAGAGACGTATCATTTCTATCAATGGATTGCCAGGAATGTCTGAACACTTTAATGACATGGAACGGAATGTATTTTTTAGTTCTCTCATTCCCTTTGACAACATTAACATGGTAAGTTCACCCAGGCAGTTATGTCTAATCACTCATTAAAATAACTTTTTTGTATATTGCTCATTTACGTGGTATTCAGACAATGTCAGACCCACCTTAACTGCCTATCCGACTGGTGGAAGTCACTAGTTTTCCCCGTAGCTCACCCACCCACCCTTCAGATCCTTCGTGTGGGTGCTATCTATCTATTTCTGTGCATGTATGACGAGGTTAACATAAAAGAACATCAAAAAAGATCAAATTTCTCCTTTTTTCTCTCTTTCTAGGTTCGTGCAGCTGGTGCCTTGATTAAATATCTTGAGAAGAAACGGTTTGGTTTGGAGCTGGAAGACTTAGATGTACCCGTTCCCATTCTAGCATTAAAAGTGTTTTCTTTGTAAGTGAAAAACATGCATGGCTAGCATATACTTCCTATAGCTATAGTACCTATAGCTGCAAATACTGATTACAGTCATGTAATCAGTATTTAGAGGTGGTTTGAGGTGTATGAGATGCTAAAACAAATGTTTTGAGTCTCTATCAAACTGTTTCCGGTTATTTAAAACATTTAGTTTATTAGCAGTACTTGTGTTGTTAACCTTTTAACACTTTACTCTTGAATCATAGGAAAGATATGATGATTATCGACGATAACACATACAGGTGGGTTATATTAGCATATTTTCTCTTGGCATAATCCACTAAATAATTCCACACTGATTCACATGATTCACATGGTTCGAGTCCCGCTGTGGTCACTAGCTGAGACTGTATTTGTCCTGGTCACTGATTAGTTCAGATTCAGTTTCTCGACCATGCTTGTAAATAGCCAACTGGTTTGCCTCCTTACCCGCAGTTGGGATTTTTAACACAATTTCTGTTTCTTTGACCATTTCATTTCAGTTTATTAATTGTAGGAGGGCCATAATGGAAACTACTGGGTTACCAGTAATGTATGTCACCCTCGTTAAATAAAGTCAATTTATTTATTTTATTTATTATTTAGGGCGTTTAGCCGTTTGTGCACGTGCCTGACTATTAGCCAGCGGCCATCATGAGTCGCTATTATATCCCTTTTTGCGTTTTTTTAATTGTATTTTTTAAGCAGGTGCTGCACTTCTTTTTGAACTACTTGAGCTATTATCATTACCACTGTAATAGTCATTTTTTTCCAATAGACCTATCCCGAATTCGCTTGACTGACCGCGAAACAATGGTTTGAAGTCAAGACTGAACTTGATTCTTTAATTCATCAAGTTCGACCTCGACGTGAAACCATTGTTTCGTGACCAGTCAAGTGAATTCGGGATAGATTACTGCATTAATTATTAATGCAGCTGCTTAAATGCTTTCCTCACTCTATAGTACTTTTTTCTCACAGAAAAAGGAATGCGGAAAATACTTGACTATCTTATTGACCTATGTGACTCAATAGCAAAGATTAGCCTACTTTTCATGAGAAATATGAAAAAAATGATTCTTACTAGCACAAAATCTGAGACTGAATGATCTTTCTTCTTTGCAGTGCTTTACAAATCTTTAGAAAAGAGTCACATCCATCTGTCTACAAACAAGGAACAAGTTCCAAGGAAGGCCTCTCCCTTTTTGGTAACCGCTTATATATATTTTTGAGATGAGACGACAGTCTTTTGGTTATCGTCCCACTCTCTTGAATTCATTAGAATTTGTATGACTGAGAAATAGCACGGCATATGGCACCGGCCTTCACTTACGGAATTGACGAAATTCTGAACCAATCACAAACCAAAATGCGACCAAAATCCGTATGCACATGACACCACTACGGTCACGGACGGTACGCCCTTACCACAAGTTCGCCACAACTAGTCAGCCAACAAATAAATTTTCTCCATAATATATTGGCTAAAAAAAACTAAAAAAGGCATTCTTTTCCCTTTATAAAATCAAATCTTAACGCTTCATTTTTACCTAGGTGTCATGAACAGAACACGATCTTCTCTTGGTAGTCGGTTACTAAGGTTCGTAATCAAATTCCTTGAAAATAAATCTAATTTTTAGTAGCCAGAATCAGTTTGTTCTCGTAGGAAATCTAAACGGCAAGGCGTTTCACTGTATCCGGCGTCATTTGAAGCAGTTATACTGAGAATGACTCGGTTTGAACTGTTATGCTTTCCAGTTTATAATTATGAGAGTCTAGCAATTTTTTTCGCTCTATCTTCAAAGGGCATAGTTACTGGCGACTGGTCCCCTCCGCTGGTCTAACTATTTTCAGAAGGAATGATCGTCTCCGCTCCTACCGTGTTGACTCAGACTAGGCACTTCGATCTGAATAAACACTTTTCCTCCTATTCTGTCAAACTTTAATTTTAGTCCTTTTCTCTGATCTCTTTATTAACTTTACCGATAAGACAAATCAGCTTACCTTTTCATTTTCCTCATATTAAATTTGCTGTCAAATATTCATAATAAATAAAGTTTTAACTTTGAAGGTTTCGATATTTATCCCCGGTCCGCTTTTTAGTAAATCAGACCTTGCCCAATAATGATTGTGATACTTTCAATTTCAATTTCTATCAGAATATGGTTTATGCGTCCAACTCGAAATATAGAAGTTTTGAGTCAGAGACAAAAAGCCATCAATTTTTTCATGCTCCCAAGAAATCAAGAACTCGTGTCTTCTTTACAAGACTGTCTGAAAAACATCAAAAATATTTCGGTAAGTTTAAAGTAAAAGCTGAAATAACGATTGCAAAATGGGTAATTTGGGTTTCTAAATCTGGAAGATTTGCTCTTTTTTTAGTATTACGATCGATGTAACGTCGTTTTAGCCTACATGTTGCGAAAAACATGACACGCATGACGTAGTTTAATTCGGACTTTGATTGGAGCTGCTTCATTTCCCGCGATCATCACAGCCAGTTTTCTACGTCACGAGACGTGACGTTGACACTGCATCTGACACAAGTCACGAACGCAACGAAAGATTTGCTTAAAGCATTAAAATAAATATTCAAATTACTCTTTTGTCGATAAAATTATAATTGACGTTTTCTATTTTTTGCTTCGGAAAATTATCTAACCACTTCGTCTTTCTTTTTTCCTCCTATCTCGTCGCTTTTCATTTGTTATTAACCGATGCATCATTAAACGTAGTTATCTTTCTTTAATAACAGAGAATACTCAGCCGAATGAAAACAGCACAGGCCTCTGTCACAGACTGGCAAGCTCTTTACAAGGTTTCAGATTGATGGTTTAGAGTGATTTTCCTCAGACCGTGAAATGGTTTCCGAGTAGTTTCATAGTGAGTACCTTTCAAATGGACACAAAAGAAAGCAATGCATATAAGATTTAATAGCCTCTATTAGGTACTAACTATTTCACGGGCTGAGTAAAACCACTATCACGAAATTGTAACTAAGAGACGATTCAGTCTCTTGTTAGGTAGAAAGGTGCGATTCAAATGGCTCTGCGCCGTAACCCAAACAACTGACTTGTAGAAGAGAGGGATAGGGGTGGTAAAGGTAATGACGATTTTTCTTTTCTTTTCTTTTCTTTCTTTTTTTYTTTCTTTTTTTTTCTTTTTTCTTTTGCATCCTCTTTTGTCTAAAACTAGGATTAGTCAAAAGGCTCAGAATCCGCACTCAGTTCATTGTCTCCTGAGTTCACTGCAGGTTTTTCTACCTCATTGAACAACATACGTAAATACTTGATCTTCGTCATTCCGGAAACATTTATTATCTCGATGATAGCTATCTTTCATTTGCACTATGAAATGAGGGTGGAGAAATAAATTCACATGAAAATCAGCAGTAAAACTAATTATTGAGCTTGAAAGCTAATAAACTAAGAAAAGAAATATCTTAGTTATAATGCATGAATTATTGTTATCCTAGACCGTGTACAATGCCATCTACATTGCAGACCTTTGCAGAACTTTCCCCGCTGATGTTGTCATAGCTACTAAGGTAAAATTTATCGGCATTCATAATTAGTTAAGGTGGGCTTACTTAATTTAGCCCTTGGGAAATCACTTGACTTGCGACATGTTAGACTATAAGTCTGAACGCGATGACGAAATAAGAGGATTAAATATTTTTAGCCCATTTCATCCTACTTCTCCCACTTTTAATTCCATTCCACTCTCAGCTTAATACAATTTAAAAATGTAAACAAATGACTTATCTATAACGAAAAACAAATGCTTCCTCGTAGATAAAAGATCATTTCACCCACGAATTACCACGCGTTGCCGACCTCATCAACAAGATTGTAAGTGTTATACGAAACTTCACATTATAGATAAATCCATATCATACATACACAGACGTTTTTGACTCCTGCATTCATGGCATATTTGAGTCAATTTAAGCATGATAGGCTTATCTGTGAGTGAAAGGCAATTTAAGATCAAATATTCGACATAAAAAATGGGACAGGGGGGATTTGGAAGAAAAAAACTGAAGAGAGAAGAGAAACCAATAAACTGAGAGAAAGGACTAGCTAGTGGTTGAGGATAAAACGAAAGATAGGGAGAACATGAAAAGAAAAAGAAAAGAAAAGAAAAGAAAAAAAAAAAAAAAAAAAGAAATAATAAAGAACACACATGAGTAGCACATGTCTTAGCTTTAGACTCTTGGATGCCAGATAGCAAGCATTGTCTATGCATACTTATCACAACTGAGTCATAAACGCTAGGGGTATAAAAAGGCGCCAAGACCAAAGGTGAAGAACGCGCCAGGCAATCAGCATTCACTCTCCATTATTTCCGGTCTACTGAGATATCTTAGATAAGATATAAAACCTTCATTCTGAACACATATAATTGTTTTTTTTCTCTTAATGTGTATATATATATAGGTCGATTTTGAAGAATCAGCCGAGCAAAATCGTTTTGTGGTTAAGCCTGGTGTTGACCCTGTACTTGATGAAAGTAAGTTAATGCCCTCAAAGACTAGTCTAGACGCATTTCTCATCACATCTTCTTAAAATAGAAGTAAGAGTAGCGGTTACAGCGGGAGGCTCAACTGGATTTTACAAGTATGTAGGCCACCCTCCTCTGCACCAATTGGCCATCCCACTCCGCTCGTCCAAATACCCACGCGAGCGGAGAGGGCCACTACACAGGCTAAGTAATAGGCAATTTATATGACAAGCGAACGCATTGGGGAGGGTGCATTTACCTAGAAAGGCATAACATAGCGTCCTTTTAGGTCTTATCTTATCCTTTATTCTTATTCTTTTGAACTTCAAAGGGGGCCGTGACTAGTCAACCAATTCACGCCCCTGGATCCGCCCTTGTATTTCTAGTTATGTTTTATTGTAGGATCTATATGATTGACTTTGGAAGCTCATTTTAAAAAGTACTAACAAAAACTAAATAATGTTCAGTCTACCGAGTACTTATAATAGTGCATACCGTAGTTATAACTGCAATATGAGGGAATTTATTGCATGAAGGACATCAAACCGCAACTTTATGGACTGAAAACGATCCTTTGCGCACTTAGTAATGTGTGAGCTATTATCTCGATAAAGATTCTAAAAGCAAACTAAGAGTTTTAGAACATAGAAGAATGTGTTCTAACGAATAATAAAATCATCCTTAATCTACATATGTAAAGGTACATATTCTACCGATGATATACTAATTGTATGTCAATAGCTTACTGAACTAAATATTGTATGAAAATTTTATTTACTAAACTAAAAATTGTTGACAATAGCTTACTGAAAAGTAATATCCTTCATTTACATCTCGACGCTATTGATTATTGTCTTAGCATATAAATTCTAATAAAATATTTACTGCACATTTATCAAAGACAGTCTAAAAAAATTTTCAAATCTCTTTTCGAAAACGTGCTTACCTTTGCCATACACTCGGCCGGAGCACTCGTGTTCATTCGCCTTCACAACAGCTACTGAATCAATCAAACTCAGTACCGTGAATCTTCTTCTACAAGAGCTGCACAATGCGGTCCAACCTCAACAGAGAATACGATTTAATCTATATAAACCATCAAAATGCGATTTATTGAAACTATTGCACCGAATTCAATTTTTAAACGGACGTTTAACACCAGCAGCCAGGCCATTTTATTGTCTTCTTCCCATTACGGCTGAAACATGGTAATGATCTAATGACTTTGGTTCCACTGTCATCATCATCAAATACATCTACGATAGGCCGATTTCCACGTGATTGTGTCAAGCACGCAATAAACAGTGTGAAAAGGTTCATTAAAAATGTTCTTTCTTCATTCTTTTGTAAAGAACCATAAACTTGTGAATTTAGTAGTTCCAGGCCGGGCTGGGGTGGGGATCAAAAAACCTTAATGTCTTTTATGTAGATTTAGGCCCCGTCCACACGTATCCGGAAAGTTTTGTATCCGCAAATTATTTTTTGCGGATACGAAAATGTTTGCGTCCACACGCGGCGTATTCGAATCGTTTTCACCGTCCACACGTATCCGTTTTCGTAAAATTTGCGGATACGTGTGGACGGGGCCATAGAAATTAATCTTGAGCAATTCATAGCTCAGCCTAAACAAAATTCATATCAGGCTGCAGTCATGCTTGGTTATATGTTTGTAGCCTTTTACACTAAGCTTAATATTTTTGTGGGTTTTTTTTTTAGAGAAAAGGACTTACAATGGCCTTCCAGACTTCATGACGAAAGTTGCACGAGAGGAACTGAGTAAATTGAGATCATCAGTCACAGAATGTAATGTAATCTATCTACCTCAGGTAAATTAACTGCACAATTCTGAGTGTTGGGGTATGGGAAGTAATGCAACTATAATCCCTTAGTATCTGGAACAAATATGTTACCCTTTGTAAATTTGGCATCACTTTGGGAAACTAGATTTGCTTGTCACATGTTCAAGATTTCTGTGAGGGGGTAACTCAAGGCGACACTGAAATCATTCCTCCCTCCCCATCCCAAGGCCAAAAAACGCCTGATCGTAACAAATTACTAATAAATTACAAGGGGGAAGGGTTCCCTGGATATGCCCCAGTGCTTCTATTTTTTCGCATTCTTAAGTTGGTTGTAACTATGAGGAAATCATGGTTTACTAACAAAAATAACTGAACTAATTGTACTGATATAACTGGTTCGAACGCATTTTTTAGCTTGGTTATTTATTATCAATCCCACGTACTGCTGATATGAAAGAGGAAAAGGACTTTGAAATGGAAGGACTTGAATTTGTAGTGAGTATGATGCATATCCTTAAAGATGTAATCCTTAGTACACTTGAGAATGGTGAGAATGGTGGAGAGGTAAACCAGTTAGCTTACCACGCTTTTTCTTCAAATCTACGTCTCCCCTTTTTTCTTGCTTATTCTATCCTTCTTCTTGTCAAGGAGTGTTCGATTGCACTTCCTTCTTAGCTTACCATTGTTCCACTCCCCAATTCCGGTTGCAACTGAGTTCTTTGAAAACATTAACATATATTCTTTCTTCGCGTGGGTCACTTTACAACTGAAATGCTTTCTTCCTCGTATTTACGCAGTTCCTTTCTAATAACATGGTTTATTACAAGAGCGAGAGTACCAAAGGTTAGTGGGTAGTGCTAACAAACACAACATTTAAGTTTGGTGAACTGAACTCCATGAATGATTGTCAGTGAGAAAGAAAATTCCGTTTACTTTAATTATGTTTCCTTTTGTCCCAAAAGAACTGGATCTACTGCTGGGAGATACACAGTGTGAAATAACAGGTAGAATATTGATAAGCTTGATTGATGACTCCGACTAGTTTACATTGAACCTTGATCAATGTCTCAATGTCTTTGGTATAAAATAGGTAAAAATGATATCTTTTGCTTTATGTGCAGATCACGAGACAGCCATCATGCATCGCTTACAGAGTATTATTCTAACTCACGGTAAAACACTTCTGGGCATGATGGAATGCGCTGCAGAACTTGACTGGTAAGGGCTTGGCCTACTTTTCACCCCTTTACCTAGTTTTGCTCGTCCCTGATCTAACCAGGTCAATGGTCATATCTAAACTTAAGACGCAAAAATATACTATGTTTTAGCTTCGTTATGTCATTCTTTTTAGCTTGGTTTCTTTGGCTATTTGCGCAAGAGAAAGCAACTACGTACGTCCTGAAATCACTTCTGATTCAATCTTGGATATCAAAGGAGGAAGGTAAAAAAACTAAAACCATCGAAAACGCATACATTTGAAAACGTTCTCTAGAGTGTAGACAACGAAAAGGATAGTGTGGAGGCGAATCTCTCGATGCGTTTTCGTTGAAATACTAACAAAAAACAGATCATTTTGAAAAAAACGCCTAAGTAATATTGATCGGTGGTTATGGTGACTTAATCTTGATTTCTTGACGAGTTTCAATCTATATTGCGCATGCGCATTTGATCTCTTTGTTCATTTATTGTATCTCCAAAGGCACCCTTTGCAAGAACTTTGCGTAAATCAGTTCGTACCTAATGATACTTCAAAAGAGAAGGACAAAGGACGTATGACGATTCTAACAGGTCCTAACGCCAGCGGAAAGAGTGTCTATCTAAAACAGGTATGTTACTAACGGGCAGCAAGACCGTCATTCATGTAGTACACAGGCATGCAAAAATCGCGAGAAAAAAAGCACATAAAGTATTAAATGAGACATGCAATTCACTCTCTTTGACTTAAATAAATCGCATGAATATCATGTTCAGAAAAAATGTATGAAAATATAAAAAGTGCCCAGTAGGGAATAAAAAATAAATAAAAAAAAAACAAACTTGATTTTTACCTCATGTTTGAGTGTAAAAATGCGTCGCGGCTGGTTTTCCAAAAAGGATCCCACATGGAAAGGAGTGACCATGGATACAACTCCAGCATTGACCGAAACTACGAATTGGTCTCCTGGTCATAGCAAGGGGTTAATCATTTACGGTCTAGGGGCCGACTAACCTCTCCCTTAGGCTTCGGCCGAGCTTCCTGATCAGTCTGTAAATCCCGGATAGCGGTGTCGGGGCCGAAATCTCCGGCGTAGCCGTAAATGCTTCGCGCTGCCATACGACGGTTCAGCACTCGATGTCTGGAGGTATGGTCCTAATTAATTCGAGAATCAAAAAAAGAAAAAAAAACCTCAATAATTCCACTTGAACAAGAGGCGCCTTAAGAGCGCATACTCGTTTAAGAACGGTAGGTCCTACCAATCTCGTACCCAGTACTTCTCGGTTTTGTTCTAAATATTTTATCTGAGACAACGGTTAAAAATAGAAATAATTCAAACAAAATTCGCTGGGTTCTTTTTCAGTTCATTCAGTCAGTTTATTTAATCGGATTATAATACTCATAGGTTGGCCTAATCGTATTCATGGCCCACATCGGTAGCTTTGTTCCAGCTGATTCAGCCATCATTGGTGTAACAGATAGAATCTTCACTCGAATTCATACGCGGGAGACTGTGTCGATTGGACTCTCTACATTCATGATTGATCTTGGCCAGGTACTTGTTCAATGTTAAGAAAAAAATTTTTTCCACACTTTTTGCAGACTTGCTTGTTGTTAACTCCGCGCGTTTCGGAATTTTGTACAGGTTGCCACTGCAGTTCAAGGAGCTACAGAACACTCGTTAGTTATCATAGATGAGTTTGGAAAAGGAACAGCTACGGTATGTTTGGATAGTCAGTACGATTACTAGCTTACTATAGATGTTGGATGGATGAATAACTTGCATTTGGGATTTCATATTGTTTCATAACTAAATTATATGCATGTCACGTGGTGGACTACGAAGCAATGACTCCAAGTCGAGGTTGAACTTATCAGATAATGTAAATGTACGAACACATGAATTTCAACCTCGACATGGAAACATTGTTTCGTGGTCACGCAAGAAAATTTGGGGGAAATTCATTGCAGCAGCGATGAACGACTGAAGCCCCATTTACTCAAAGTTTACTCTACGTGGAAAAATTGTTTCGTAGTCACGCAAGAAAATTTGGGGGAAATTCATTGCAGCAGCGATGAAAAGCTCAAGCCCCATTTACCCAAAGTGATATCTTTCTATTACTAATAAAGTATAATGGTATAGGAAATTTTTTTCAGGTCGATGGTCTGTCTCTTCTGTGCGCAACATTAAAACACTGGCTTGCGTTTAATGAGAGATGCCCAAGGATCTTTGTATCCACACACTTTCATAGTCTCATCCGACAGAAGCTACTTCCCGACACCGCTATCTTGAAATACCAGGTAGATGCTAAATTCTTGCTATTGCGGTCGCCATTAGTTTACTTGGCCTCTAGGCTATGCTAAATTACCTATTTGCTTAGAGTTTTTTCATCCAAAACTGACACAATTGAAAATATATATTATATTTTCTGAATGATCTCTAACATTCTTCCACTTGACTAACCAGCGCGTTATTCATTCCCATCTCTCTTTCTCATATTTAGACAACCCAGGTGATAGAAGATGGAGAAGAACTGGTGTTCCTATATAATTTGGTAGATGGCTATGCTAGTAGTAGTTATGCTGGTCATATTGCTAGACTTGCTGGGATTCCTGATGATCTTGTTAAGAGAGGAGCTGAGGTAAGGCATCACTAACAACAGGAATTATCTTAAAAAATAGACCTTACCCGAATCCGCTTGCATGACCACGAAACAATGGTTCAAAGTCGAGGTTGGATGTGTTCATACATTGACTGTATTTAATCAAGTTCAATCTCGACTTGATGCCGGAACCATTCTTTCGTGGTCACAGGTCTATTAGAGGCAATGCATCACGTTTTTCAGTTTTTTAAAGGTTTAATTGAAAGTATTAACTGGAAAAATTTCTTTTGGCCATGATTTGCATGTATTTACCGTTTATTTGACTGTACATATTATCATTCGAATAAAATATGTCGATATCGAGAGGCTCAATCTCGTCTTATTTTATTTTATTTTTTTAAATTTTTTTTGCAGGTTTCAGAAATGGTCAGGTGCAATAAGCCTTTACAAAGAAAAGATAGCGTGAGTTGGGAAACGCAGCGAAAGAGGTAATAATGAAATAATAGCTGTTATAAAACATCCCTCCCTACTAATATTCTTTTATTTCGCATTACGAGAAGTTAGAAGCACCTGTATACAGACTGTTCAATCAAATTATATTACCATTGACGTCATAGTATTTGACGTCATATTGAGTAACATGTGTTAGCTTTCAGTTGCCGTCACGCACGTTCTTCCTTTAGTTTGCTTCTAATTGTCTAGTATGATTCATTATTACCACCTTGTTTCTGTTATTCGATGGCTAGTTTATTGACCCAAAACATCACGTTCAATAGTCTCGCATTAGTATAAAAGACTTGCTTCATTATAATTTACTTTTTTCCCCTCTTGTTTATTTATCCTTATRCTTAAGTTTAAATGTATATTTATTATCGTTATTCACTCTTTTTTCTTGCTAATCTATGAATTTTATACTTGCTGACTATTTATCATTTTTTTCATATCCTGTAAGCCTCTGTGTTTGGTCTCATCAATCATTGCATAAGCCATTTTTCATTGTTGTTGACTAAATGAATTAAAAAAATGTGTTTCCATATGTACTTGTTTTTTCTAGATGTAGTACCATTGTAAATCGGTTCCTAGAGTTAAACCTGGAAGAAGACGACCTCCATTCATTCTTATCAGACTTTGTTATACCAGCAAGTCAAGGTCAAATCCCACAGTAATGATTTTTAAACAATATACTCACATGATATTTTTGTAGGTATTCAATAGAATGGTTTTCTGATAAGTGGGAAACGATACGGCAAATTCTCAGCCGTATACCATATCGTACCGTAACCGTATGCATTGTGGTTGAATGAATTCAGTGGAAGATAATAGGAAGCCATTAATTGTTACGTCATATCGCACACGTTTCCCACTCATACGAAAACCATTCTTAGCTTATGGGGAGCTATTTCAATGTTACGGCATGTCGTACTGTGTTCGTGCTGTAAGAAGCTGTAACAGTACCGTACGTTTCTCACTCATACGAAACCCATTCTTAGCTTATGGGAAGCTATTTCAATGTTACGGCATGTCGTACCGCGGTGTTCGTGTGTAAGAAGCTGTAACAGTACCGTACGTTTCCCACTCATACGAAAACTATTCTTAGCTCATGGGAAGCTATTTCAATGTTACGTCATGTCTTACAATCTTGTCGCACTGTCGGTCTACGTGCTGTAAGAGTACCGAATGTTTTTTATTATTATGGAACCCACTTTACACCTGGCATGGACTTGACACCATACACACTCTCCATATATTATCTTATTTCTGATCATGATTAGTGAGTATTGATGGTAATTCCATTAAGGTCGATTTTATATCAACTATTTTGACAAATTTGATGTCTTATTGATTCTTTGTTAATATATCTTTTTCAAAACGCCCACAAAGCATGATCGAAAGTTTGCATCAGTACACGTGCTAACTACCACATTGCCTTTTGTGTCGTGTTGATTTTGCTTCTTTTTTATTTCTTAAAAAGTCAATAGAAGAAAAAGGACCTATTTATAAGAGTTATTAATTAAGATCGGCCATGGATTTAAGAGGAAGATTGACCCTAGAATTTCTATGCATTAATCCACTGTACACCACCATCTTGTTATGTCTATTATATACTTTGCTCGGCGTGACCTCATTTTATTATTATATTGTTCATGGTTATGGCAAGCCTATGGCAAGCCATACCATTCAAAAGTGATTGAGTTTGCAACTGCCTGTTGAGAAATCGACTGATGATTGAGAATGACGGATTGCTAGGATTAAGAAAGAAGACTGATGATTGAGAATCACGATTGATGATTGAGAGTCACGATTGAGGAACGAGAATCACGACCGAGGAACGAGAATTACGACTGAGGAACGAGAATTACGACTGAGGAACGAGAATCACGTGATCTTACCTTGGAGATCTGGGTACGAGAATTTTTCCCGCCAAAAGGCTAGTTTACTCTGCGCATGCGCCATATGGAAATAGCCTTCCAAGACTACAATACAATACAATACAATTTTTTATTTGCTCATACAAGAAAATTTACATGAAATGTGAAAAACAACTATAGAAAACAACTAAGAAAATAAAGAATAGATAATTTTCAAAAGAACATAATTCAGAGCCTGGGGTCTAAATTAACCATAAGGTTTTCGAGTTAGACCCCAGCAATTTAAAATTTAACATTGGAGTAAACTGAAGAAGAACCAAGTACATAAAAAATAATTACAATTTAACTGAACAATAAAACTGTTAATCCACAATTAGAGTAATGACATGTATGGTATATATGAAGAAAGAAATAGAATATTTAGAAAAAGGAAAATCTAAGGAAGAACTAAATTTTCATCTGTAATTGGTCGGAGGGTAAATAACTTTTTAATTTTTTCGCAAACGAAAATACATTAACATTTTTTAAGTGGYTAGGAATTTGTTCCCAGAGTTCAATCGCCATATTAGCCGTCATTTKCTTGCCTATATTGGTACGCACTTGTGATTTATGCAAGTTTTGCTTTGCTGCGTACCTGGTATTGTAAGGATGGATATCTTTTGCATATTTGAAAAAAGAGGAAAGTGTCTCTGGGAGMTTACCTTTGTGCCATAAATGAGTAAATTTTAAAGCATGAAGACGATAAATATTATTTACTGTGAGAAGCTACAAGAGATTTAGCAAGGGAAGAGCGCTTTCGGTGTTTTCGCCAAAAGATACAGCAAAGAACATTATTCTTACAACTATATTCTGTTTGACTTGCACTTTCTTAATGTGCGTTTTATAAGCGCTTCCCCAGGCCAATATTGCATATGATATGTAGGGATAAACAAGGTTGTAATAAATTTGTTTCAGTTGATGAATGGAGAGAATAATACCGTAATTTTGATATCCCTCCAATATTTCGTGAAATTTTTGAGCAGACATAAGAAATATGGTATCTCCATGATATGCAGTCATCAATTATGACTCCTAAATATTTTATGTGGTCTTTTCTTTGTAAAGAATTGCTTGAACCATCTCTGTTTTGAAATTTCAGATCAATTATCGCGTTTTTCTTTTTACTTGATTTCACGATCATGAAATTTGTTTTTGTATAATTAATTGATAGTTTATTTGCGTCACACCATGTCTTAACTTTTTGGAGCTCAGAGTTCATCAGTTTTTCAAGTTCCCTTAAGTCATAGTGCGAGCCAAAGACATTCGTGTCATCCGCAAATATTCTAAATTTCAGAGTATCAGAGCAGTTTGGCAAATCATTAATATATAATAAAAACAAGAGAGGTCCAAGAGAGCTACCCAGAGGAATTCCACAATTCATCGTTTGTTTTGAGGATACGTTGTTACCAAAAGCAACATATTGTTGCCTATTTGTTAAATAACTGGTAAACCAATTTAGCGCAATACCTCTGACTCCATATAGTTCTAACTTTTCTACTAGAATTTTGTGATTAACAGTATCAAA